TAAAAATACTCTTGGTAAAATATTAGTTGTACTGAAAGTATTCTATCTATATTTCTCCTTGAGTAAAAGAGCAAAAGTACTTGCTTGCGAATGTGCTTAAGTATTAAAAGCAAAAATACTGTTATTACAGTATTACAACACTGTTATTACAATACTGTGTTATTACAGTGTCACAATAAATTAAATACTTTATCGATTTTTGAACGGAAAAGAAGGAAACACAAACTCTGCAGCCAACTATTTTAAAAAATAACATTTTTTTGGCAAATGGTAATACACAGCTACTATACACTGACCCGCCACATCATTAAATCACCTCATTTCTATACTCACTGTCCACTTTATCAGCTCCATTTACCATAAAGGTGCACTCTGTAGTTCTATAATTACAGACTGTAGTCCATCTGTTTCTCTGGATGCTTTGTTAGCCCCCTTTCACCCTGTTCTTAAATGGTCAGGACCCCCACAGGACCACCACACAGCAGGTATTATTTTTGTGGTGGATCATTCTCAGCACTGCAGTGACCCTGACATGGTGGTGGCGTGTTGTGTACACCACATGGTGTAATGTGTGTTGTGCTAGTATGAGTAGATCAGACACAGCAGTGCTGCTGGAGTTTTTAAACACTGTCCACTCTATTAGACACTCCTACCTTGTTGGTCTATTTTGTAGATGTAAAGGCAGAGTCAATAGCTCATCTGTTACTGCACATTTGTGTTGATCATCCTTCATCAGTGGTCACAGGACATTGCTGGCTGGACATTTTTGGTTGGTGGTCGATTCACAGTCCAGCAGTGACACTGAGGTACAGTGTTGAGAATGATCCACCACCCAAATAATACCTGTTCTGTGGGGGTCCTGATCATTGAAGAACAGGGTGAAAGGGGGTTAACAAATTATGCAGAGAAACAGATGAACTACAGTCTGTAATTGAAGAACTAAGTGCACCTATATGGTAAGTGCATCTGATAAAATGAGCTGGTTTTAATGTTATGGCTGTTCGGTGTATATGTGATATAAAACTTAAAAATAAAAAAAATTAAATAGTAAAAATGGGTCACTCTATTAATGTACCATTCGGTACTTTTGGACATCACTGCTGTTGGAACAGAACGCCACATATCCAAAATGGTGATTTGAAAAAGTTAAGAAAAAAAGAAAAACTTCCTCAACTTTGAATGGAAGTCTATGGAACTTCAAGTAATTCTGGAGGTTTTCTATTGGTCTGTCTATCATGAAGTTTTAGCATGTTTTTCAGTTTTGCTATCTCAAATGAATGCACTGTGTCATTAGCATTGTGATTAGCTCTGGAATTCATAACCAAACAGGCAACATCACAGCATAAAATCTAACTTTTTTCTGAAATTTGTATGTTTTAATGTTCTGAGTTGTACACTTGAGGAGGACAGTACCTATCGGCTTGATTTTAGATTCCTAAAGTGCTTCCATACTTAAGAAACTCCTTTTTCCACAGAATATGAGAGCATTTGCACAGGATTAAGATAACCTGGGTTATTACTATGGTTGGTTTTATAGAAGGTAATAGGAGCCGGAATATTTACTGATGCTTGAGCGTGCAGTCTGTGGTGGATTCAGGTGGGACTAGAAACAGTGGTAAAAAATGACATTACTCCACCTCCTCATGTAAAACTAATCTTGTCTGAACAGTCAGCACTAAGCAACACCCCCTCTGGCAGATATAGCTTGCAAACACTTTTTTGTATCTAGTTCGGAGGCTTTCTATTATTGTTTTAGGAATTTTCACCCACTCTTCCGAGGATGCTTCTGGTTCTGCGATATTCTCGGGCCATCCTGCACATACTACATGTTTAAGATCTACACACTTTTTTCCAACGACGTTAGGACAGGGGACTGTGAGGGCTTCTAAAAGTTTCAGCTTGTGGTTCTTGAAGTAGTTCATGGTGGATTTTAAGGTACGTTTTAGATCATTGTCCTGTTTTCAGCCTCTTTTCAGCTTCAGCTTTTTAACTGACTGTGTCACATTTGCTTCCAGACAACCCCAAAGCATAATTGATCCACCCCATGCTTAACAGTTGACAAGGTGTTCTGGTCATCAAATGCTGCTCCTTTTTTTTCTTCAAACTTACCTTTGGCGATTGCAGTTTCCTTTTTACTTCAGTCCACAGCACTTGTTTCTAAAATGTCTCTGGTTTGTTTTTGATACTTCAGGTGTTGAATTATTGTTCCTGCACATAAGTTTTCCTTCTGATGCCTCTCCTATCCAGATCATATTTATACAAGCAATGCTGCACAGTAGAAGAGTGCACCACCACTCTTGTGTCAAGCTTCCAGTTGGTGTTTTGCTGTCATATAGGGGTTTTGCTTTGCATTTCTAGCCAGCATGCAAGCTATCTGAGTTTTCTTGGTCTTCCAGATCTTCACTTCCACTGTTCCCTTTTACTGACACTTCTTACCGCCATTTCAGACAATGGAAAATGTGACCTGGAAGCTTTGAAATCTTTTTATAGCCTTTCTTGGCTTTGCAGGCATTAATTAGCTTTGTTTTCAGGTCCTCAGTCAGCTGCTTAGAGGACCCCACAATTACTATTTATTTTTTTTTGTTTATCAAATATGAAGTAACTGTGCATTAAAAGTAGCAGAAAATTATACTTTTTGAGGTTTGAAAATCTACCTAACCAGTCCTGTTGAGTCCATTAAGGTGTGGATTAAAATTTGTATAAAATTATTTTTTAAAACTGCAGAGTTTGTGTTTTATTTCACATCAAAGCTCAACAAAAAACATAACTTGGCCATGGATGCTCAAACTTTTCTATAGAGTTGTATATCTTGTACAATATTATTTTAATGAACTATTAAGGAGACCTGTGTGACTGAAGACATGAAAACTGAGTTGTCTGTGTCAGCAGCAGCACAGGTCTCCTTAATCATCAAAATAATAACATCTACAATAACTCCATACTTTTATTTTTGACATTTAAGTATATTTAAAAGCAAATACTTTGGTAGTTTTATTAAAGTATACAGACAGAACACTTGCACTCAACTAATATTTCTAAAGTACAGAAATACTGTATTTTGTTAACCACTGGTTATATTTTGCAACGCTCAGATTCATATTCATTAGAGGGTCTTCCACAGTATTAAGATAATTTTCCTAGGTAATGACTTAAGAGTTTTCTTTTCCAATCTATTGTTAAAAGCACATATTGAAACTATTTTACCTCAAAGTGTCCCGAAACATTTGACAGGCCTTGCATATAACTTTGGGATTCCGGTAGTTTATCTTCTAAGAATGAATCTCATCAATCTAAAAAAAAGGGGTTGAACCCATTCTTGGGTAAATAAAATCACAGGAAGAAAACTCATCTGAAATTATGCTATAAATTGAGTTTAGTGAAGTCCATTAACTCCAGAAAAACTGAAAACGTTTGGAGAACTGTAATAGTATATTTGATTTCTTTCCAGCACATTCCACATCAGAATATGAGCTCCAGTAGCAAGTGAGGACCGAAACGGATCAGGGGAAATCTTCTTGGACTGGACAGATATGGAATGACAAGGATTAATGGCTGAACTACAGCATTCATTTACAGTATAACAACTGAAACCATAAAACTTTGCATATATTTTTATTCCCCAGGAAATGCTGACACTGTTGGCACTTTTCCTCCCCTCTGAGCTGAAAACAGTCACACAAGCACTTCTTTATATTACGTATACTACATTTCAGTTTTCCTATTTTGTGACTTTTTTGGGCCGGAAATTAAAACAGTATTGAATTCTGAGATGCGAGCACTGCCTTGTGTAATAAACACGTGAGGAGGCCACTGTTCTCTACGGACTCAAATTCTTTCTGAACAGAACATAAGACACAGCAAACAACAGGTAGTTATTACAGATGGATCAATGCCTGCAGGTGGAGCTGCATGACACATCACTTGTTAACTGATATCATGATAGTGGCCTTGGCAATACTGAATTATGCAAATGATCCCTGTAACCATTCTCAATAGGCCTCATTCACCAACATCTTCATGAAACTCACAGACTTTTTCTCAGGAACTTTCTCAAAAATAAATTTAAGAAAAAACATACAAAGACATTGGCCTTGGATCCTGATTAATCACAGTTCCGTTTCTGTAGGGGTTTGGTTCCAGGTGTTCAGAATCCAATAAGAATGAATTAACTTGGTCAAAATAATGTAAATCAATCTTTAACCAGGGCCTGTCTCACAAAGCAAGTTCAACACTGACAGGGTTCCTGACCATATTTCAGCTTCACAAAACCTGATAAATGGAACCCGTTTCACAACAGCGATTATCAACTCCCTGTGTTAACCCAGGTTTAGACACTCAAGCTGTGATTAAGCGCCACACGTGAACACATGAAAGCGTCGCATTGGAGCTGAACAGCCAAGTATGTCAAAGGTGAGGAGTCAAGAAGCTTATATTCCAAGAAAAAAAGTATGTAAATATGTAGAAAGTAAAGAATTTATATTGGTAAAAAAATGCCACCACCACCATATGCTACTTATTGGAGTATTAATTCCTGTATATTCTTAATATCCATGTGGTATGATTTGCTTGTTCTTAGAAATTAAGTATATTTTTCATGTAATTGACACCACCATTGTCACGACGGGTAAAAAAAAACAGAAAAAAGGGTCCTTCTCCACCAGAAGGCTGTCTCTGGTCACAAGCTTGTCCCTGATTGGCTGAAAAGCTGTTTATGATCCACAAAATTTCAACTTCTGCCCTCAAGCAGGTTAGGTGTGCAGCCTAAGCTGTCATGGTGATGAAGTCGAGTAAAAGGTGGTCTACTTTCTTGAGACAGAAAATCCAAGGTTAGTTCAGGCTAAAGCTTAAAGTTAGCCGGCTAAGCAAGAAATCCCGCTTTGTGAGAGAAGCCCATTAATATATCACAGGAAATTTCCCAATATCCAGCAGTATAAAACCACAATATGGTATTTTTCTCATATGATGCAACACAGCTTAAAATGAACATACAAGACAACTTCTTAAAAGAATCTTATTTTAATAAATCAAAAGTACTGATATCTACAAAACTGTAGACAAATTTTTCAATATGATTTTTAGAAAGTACAGTACAATTTAAGTAGATCTCTTTTGTAGAGTGTTATTTACAATTGCTTTTTTTGTATTTTTGTTTTTCCAAAATGTAACAACGTTCTTCTCCCCGCTCACCTCGCGATCTACAATTAAATGAAAACGGTCATATAAAAGAAATGGAAACAATATGCATCACAGAGCGATTTCAAAAGAGGAAGATACAAGAAATAAACTAAATCTCCAGAGATTTGACAGCCAGACGTTATTACTGCTCGAGTCAACGCTACGCAACTTGATGTGGCTCGTAAAACTGATGAGACTTCAGGAAGCACTGTGTGTCTACTAATGTTATTCTCTTCTTCACTGTTTTCCAGCTTCTAATACTCGCACACTCAGAGTGCATTTGACTGACTCTCAGTAGTGCATGAGTATAGAGACTGGAAAGAAACAATGGGTCGAACCATCACTGTTATTTATGTGACATCAAGGCCAGATCAACTGCTGCATTATAGGTCCACCATAACAAAAGACATTGAACAGTGACATTGCTTTTTCTGACTCATTACAGTATATACAAGGCTCTTATCAAAGAGAGCCATTGAATTGCACAAAAAGGAAAGAGGGGCAGCTACAGCAGGGAGAGTCTACAGAGACTAAGAGGGGAAAAATAAGAGAGAAAAACTACTGCAGTCTCAAATAGAGAGAAAAAAAAATGCAAAAATATAGGAGGTCAAAAGTGTTACCTTCATGATGCATAGATCCAAAATGAAAGCTCAAGTATTAGCAATTAAGACAAATGGCAAGACGTTTGGGTAAATATGGAAAAAAGGGAGTGGCGGAGAGCCATGGATTTGGGCTGGGATGGACAATCCTAACTCAGAGTGGACACACATCTGAGCTGGTGTGACGTCAACTCTTTGGGAGAAAATGAAAAAAGGTGCAGTAAAATTTCATATGAGTGTGGTTTTCCTCATTCATACTAGCTTGTATTAGCCCAAGCTTTCATTGCTATTAAAACACACACAAACAAGGCCTCTTTAGAGTTAGCCGCAACACAGAGAAAGAAAAAATGCTCTACTTCTCTGAAACGAACGGAAAAACAATGTGCTTCTATTTTCAAGCTCCTAATCAATGAGCAATTGTTCCTTCACAAGGTATGAGTGCCATTTAACGCTGGTAAGTAAGTAAGGGTTTTCCTGGCCTATTGCTAAGCTGCTAGGTCCAATTAATATATACATTTAGAATCAGTAAAGCTTAAGAAAAAGCCAACTGGCGTAAAAGATATGATGTGCATTAATTGTCATCTCTCAAAAACAGAATCACAATTCTTTTGTGGCTATTTAAAAGAAAGTGAAGTGGGTCCGCTGTTCTCCGGTCAGATTAGCCCAGTCACATGAAGCTAATTTACAGATAGCAGGTATTAGCGAACAACAATAAGAAGTCTTGCAGGGCACATGGTGCCATCTATGGTCTGAGGCAGGGCGTGACAGAGAATATATGTGGATATCACTCAAAATGGACCAAATGTAAGAAAAAAAACAAACAAAAAAAAACAAATCATCAGATGCATTGTGGAAGCCAAGATATGATTCCTAAACACAGACTTAGCTTGTTATTCTGAAAACTTACATGGCACAAAAAGTATGTCTGTGCAGATGTTTCATTAAAAAAATTCAAATGAAAGCTATTAAATATGAATTATGTAAAGTAAAAGGTAAATTGACAATCTCGTAGCACTCCAGGTTACCACTATAAACACGCTCTATGCGATATAATATAAAGCTGGTGTAAAACTGGTGTAACTTACGCATATCACAAAAGTCAAAAAGACTGTGTTTTTGGGAGACTTTTGATTCAAATGTATTTAAACAAATAATAAAAAAAAAAGTACTTCTATGGATATATAGATGGGTATTAATTCATATATAGGCTCTGCAATGCAATTCCCACAGGCAAGATTTGGTTATATTCTTAACCAAATATATCTCTCATCAAAACAAGTACTACAGTTTTAACTTTAGGAAGGAACAATATTCACTTGGGTTTACTGAAGCTTGTTTCAAGATGGACTGTCTCATTTCTATCTAGAGACACTTTAAGATGGGACACAAAACTCACTAATTCTAGAGGTTAGATAGAGGCAGTGGATATAGCTCAATGAAAGCTAAATCAGAAAAACTACTCAAATTTTAATCAGGATAGAGTCAAAACAGCAGTTTATGTCAGCACAACCGGCTCTACTGCATTAGTAAGTAAACATGTAAATAATAGAATGCCGAGTGGGAAAAGAACCAGTCTAGTCAATAGAATAGGAGGTAAAAAACAAAACAAAAATTGTGGAGGACAAATTTAACAAGCAAATCAAAGTTAAAATAGAGAAACAATTCGGTTATGCTTTTTAAGATGCAAATTATAAGACTCCTATATGCAGAGTGAGGTCAAGTGATTGTCAAAGAAAGCATGAGGGCAGAATATAATGGAATGGTAAAGAAATATCCTGAACAACTCTCAAGGTTGGCTCAATGTGTCAGAATCCAGAAGGAAGACCTCAACCACTTCGGTGTTGCAATAAGAGAGTGGGTTCTGGCAGCTGTGCGCTCAAGAGGGACTTCTGAGACAAAACTAGCAGGTGTTTTGCCTCAGAATGTGAATCAAAGGTTTCACCACTTAGCTCTTCATATTGAGGAAGAAAACAGCGCCAGCCCACCCACCATGGCCTCATCAGGAAAAGCGTCTTATGTGGGAAGAAACCGCATCGCCAGCAGTGGAAGAAGCAGATGAGAGGAGCTGAGTACTCCAACTGTTCTAGGGCTGGAGGAAGATAATGAGAGAGAGAGAGAGAGAGAGAGAGAGAAAAAGAAAGAGAAAGAGAGAGAGAGAGAGAGAGAGAGAGAGAGAGAGAGAGAGAGAGAGAGAGAGAGAGAGTGAAAGTGCTAAAAACGAGAGCACAGTCCAGTTAAGTCCAGCCCCAGGGTGGTGGACGGTAAGGCCTTGGTCTTCACAGTAGAACACAGCGGAAGAAGCTGCTCTTTTTCTGTTGCTCGGTGGTGATCTTCACCCCATGATTGCTGCCCTGTGGATTGTTACCCTCCTTTAGGGAAAAACAAAGAACAAAGAAAGAGTTTTAAAAACATCTATCTACTAACTACTATCACTGCACTTTAATAAAAGTTCATTTAAGAAGAGCCATGGGATTTCTGTCTTTTCTCGTTTACACAATGATTTACTTAGTGAGGAGAAACAGTCTTACCAATTTTGTGTCCATCTTTGCTTTGATGTCTCTGGCAAGTGTTAAGAATGCCTAAAACCGCAGCAAAACACATTTCACATTGTTAATTTGTCATAAATCTTCCGTTTTTTTTTCCCAGTTCTGCCTGACTTACTGTATGCACTGTGGCCTCATACTAGTTTCAATGTAAAAGTATAGTATAAAAAGTAAAGTATAAGTCACTCACATTCTCCACATTGATGTTGGCCTTCGCACTCGTCTCCATGAATTTGATGCCATACTCTAACGCCAGCTGAAGAGATAAGATCCACAGATATATACATTAACCATGCATAACTGATTTCACAAAAGCCTCTTTTATACTGTAGGGCAGTTCTGAGCACAGAGAGTAACCATTTCACAGTAGTATTTCCACCTGGATGTGGTTTGGCTATGGTTAGCTAACCGTGCTGCCATATGTTACAGTGGAATGGCTTAATGAGCAGTGGCTGATTGGCTCTACATTCACGTCACTTTTGTGGCACCTCATCTGCTGTTATTTCAAAAACAGAAACAGTCCACCAAAAAAACAAAACAAAAAACAAAAAAACTGTTTGCTCACACAGTAGCCAAATAAATACATTTCGAACACAATAGAAACCTTTCAGTCTATCAGTAAATAAAAGGCAGACCATCAATCTAACAACAACTGCTAAATGTTACACAATGCTGTTAACAAGACTGCTAACAGTGGAACGGAGCTGGCTGTGGTGTTAGTGCTAACTTAGTTAGCAGGCTAACTCCAAGCACCACAGTACAGATGCAATTGTTACTGATTTATACTCCTCTAACTACTGATGTGCATGGGTACTTAAGTGCACAGTTAACTGTTCGATGTGCCAGTATTCAAACACTGTAATCACTATTCAGATATTTGTTACATTTTATCACAGAACGACACTGAAAATATACAGATCAACAATTCAGTGAGATGGAAAACTTGTGTTTTAACAGGACTGTAAAATGTGCAGTTTGCTCGTATTTTTGAGTATATCTGTTCTATTACAGTTTGCTATCGCATATGTCTGAATGATCTAGCTGATCTTAGCTAGATGCAGAAATTGTGAAAATATATTTCTCTGACAAACTGTGGCACATTCACTGAGGAGAAAATACCTTGTGCAGAAGACAAATCTCCATCAGCATCCAACAGGTACCAGTGGAGTTAGCTAATTAGCTCTTCTGAGGTCGCCTCATCCGACACAAAAAACGTAAAGAGTTGCCTTGCGTATTTATAATAAGGTGTTTTCAAATAACTGTTTAATCTCTGAAATTTAACTGGAAATCCATTCAAGAACTCTTCCGGATACTCGAATATCAAAATTAGTCAGAATGCACATCCATATTGCTGACAAGGAGAAAGTAATTCCTAGTCCAGGAACTGTAAACAGTGTCACGACTCCACTTCAGCACAAAACAGCACGATCCCTCCATGGAAACCGTCCAGTGGAAAAGAATCTAGCTATAGACATCGCCAAATATAAAAAGCTATTGCACTGTAAGAAGACATCGTGTTTAACTTCTTATTTGTATGCCACGTTACGATTTCCGTTAAGGAAACTGCTTTGCACAAAACAAATATAAGTAACTAAATAAACTGACAAAAGATTTAAATTATTAACAAAGGTACTGTAAGAAACGGTATTATGTAGAAAAAACATCCATAAAACAGGTGAATCCTGTTTGGATGTTTAGGACAAACCAGCTCCCTCACCTTCTCCCCTCGCTCTCTGGACACTTGTCGTTTGTCATTGATGTCACACTTGTTCCCCAAAATCATCTTCTCCACGTCTGCTGATGCATGCTGGGTAAGACAGAACTTATCATTACACTTTTCTTTCACAGTTTGTCGTAAACAACACCCTATGAACACAATTAAAATTACAAATTCATTAAAAACCCACCTCTTCGATGTTTCTGATCCAGTTCTTGATGTTGTCAAAGGACTTCTCGTTAGTGATGTCATACACCAGCATAATGCCCTGAGAAAGGAGCAAAACAGAAATCAGCTCAAAAAGAGTATAAACAGTTCTAAAGCAGCCAAATGATTAAGAGCAAAGAACACAACACAATACAATAACTTTAAGAAGATTAGAAGAGCATGTCTAGACATTATTTTAACATTACAGTGTTGCAATACATGCACTGTGGTGAATGATTTTTTTTTTCCTGATTGCTAACTTACCATTGCACCTCTGTAATATGCTGTTGTGATTGTTCGGAACCGCTCCTGTCCAGCTGTGTCCCTATAAAAGAAACATTAAAACTGTGCTAGAACTACACTTCAGGGTAGATACAGATCACTTCATTTGGTCACTTCCATTATAGAAAAAGATCAGAAAACATTCCATGTTGGAAGTTCCAATTATGCAAGAAGGTTAATAATTCACACACACAGCTACTTTCACAGCGGATTTGGGGTTAAACACTGTTCCACAAATACCACTTGACAAAAGCATGTAAGACAGAAAGGACTTTGAAGAAGAGAGAAATTCAGAAACATACCATATCTGTAACTTGATCTTCTTTCCATCTAACTCTATTGTCCTAATCTTGAAATCAATACCTGCAAGAAAGTAAGCACGTCAGACAGGACTAAAGAGTAAATGTTTAGTTTGTAAACTGCTTCGACATCTTCAACTCCCAGAAGTGTAAAACATGGTAGAAAATGGTCAACGTAAGCATTAGGCTGACATTCACTTCCTCTAATGCTGATCATTAACGTTACGTCGTCTACATAAGGCATTTACACAGGCTTCCTACAAAACAAAGCAGTATTACTACTGGCTCAGAAAAAGACTTGAATGTCTCATGAGTATAAATCATCATGTACACCACATCATGGCTCATCACCTCATTAGGGTCAGAATTGCAGCTGATAAACTTCAGAAGCTGCACAATAACAGATCGCTGAGCTGCTTCAGCGTCTACGTTTAGTCTTGGTACATCTAACAAGACACCGGTAACAGCACCGCACGGCTAAAACGGTTCACTAGCTGGCTGGTTAAATTACAAATACGAACAACAACACCGTTTTATCTGAACAGCTTAGGAAGTTTGCTATCAAAATGTCCAACTAAGTTACTTAACCATACTACTTACTCACTAGCCACTTAACGTTAGCTGGTTAGCTTAGTTAGCTAGAGAAATAATGGTAGTATATAGCCAACAGTGCTAACTAGCTAATGTTACACTGCGAACCAACGTGGTACACAGGCAAGCTCATTGCTTTAGTTTAGGTTTCGGTGGCGAACTCTAGAAACAGTCTAACCAATTCTAAAATGAATACATGGACAATTTAGATAGAAACATGGTTCACAAACACAGAAGGGTGGTAATAACTTGCAAGCCAGCTAATGCTAGCTAGCTACCTGGCTAAGCTAATATACACCGATACCCATTGTGTCTGACCGAGTTATAGCAAGGAGGCTGCTCATTGAAAGAAAGAAACAGCCTCCAGAGAACTGCCACCATGTCAAGGCTAAAATAAGGTATGGAATCCTGGCTCAGCGGACAAACTAAACCGAGCTAACTTTGCCGGCGAACCGAAAGAAAGTCCACAGCTAGCTAGCTGGTTGAGCTAGCGCCCTGCTAACACGGATCATGTCAGCCTGTCATTGGACTTCACGAACACGAACCGAAGAGCAACTGTACCTATTGTGGAGATAAACGTTGAGTTAAAGGCGTCCTCTGAGAATCTGAATAACACGCAGGTCTTCCCAACTCCCGAGTCCCCGATTAACAGTAGTTTAAACAAATAATCGTAAGTCTTCGCCATACTTGATATTGCGGAAATCCCGCCCGGTAAGTGAGCGCCGCGTAGACACGGCGGTAGCTAATGAGCGCACACCCGCGCCCTCCCCAGTCCTCCAGACACACCGCCTCCGTATTACTAACCTTCTGAGGACCTATTTGACTCGTGTAGAATAATGTCACGCATAAAATAAAGATTCATTCCGCTCGGTCTTTAAAATTTCAGCATAGTTAAAAAGTTACAACGTAAACAAAGTAATTCAGAGTGGTTTGGTGTGAAATATCTATTCTAGAGAAACTTACCGAGTCAGAATTTTTACAGTGGTGGTGATAAGAACCAGACGCCTGCAGAATGTGAAGGGAAACTCCATCGATTTTCCAGTTTTTCTGCATGTTTAAATGGTTAACATGTAAACAAAGTCATTCAGAACGCTTTGGTGTGAGAAACTTACCGAGTCAGAATTGTTCACAGTGATGGTGATAAGAACCAGACGTCCACCTCTAAATGCTCCTTCCCAGAAAGTCATTACTCGAAATGACTATGAATACACTGCCCGACATATTTTGATCCATTCATGGTGGAGGAATACATGAAGGATGTTCTATGGCAAACTAGTTCCCCAAAAAAACCCCTTACTTTTTCAAACTGACCATTATTTTACCATCATCAACATTACATATATAAACTCAGAAGACAGGCGTAGCTTCACTGAGGGGTTTGGATAGTAAATAGACATTGCGACCTCTGGTTCCTATCACCACCACTGTAAAGAAAATCTGTACTGGTAAGTTTCTCTACAAATAAATTATTTCCAATCAAATCACTCCGAATGACTGTTTATATTGTAAAGACTGACTTTTCTGACTGAATTTTGACACATCAGTGGAATTGCCCTTTAATACCACTATATCTGATAAGTTGAGAGGGACAAAAAAAGAACCAGTGGTGCTACATTTAAAAAATACTATTCAAAATTATGAGCACAAATGCTTTTTTATTCAGCATTTCATATAATGAAATGTACTAAATCTAGTCAACATTACTAGTTAGGCTCTTTTTGTTATGAAACATGCAGTTGTTCTAGAAACACTGACGATATCCATGATCTGAAGAAATTTAGAGTAACTATGAATATAGTCATTTTGTCCATACATACATACACACACATTTACATATAAAAAATCGAAATATTACACAACAAAAATAATATTTAATATCTTAAAATTATGTAAACGTGTAACATCACAAGCAGTAAAAGACACGCTTTTGTGCAAATATGTAAAAATTTATTATGCTTTTAAAAAAGTACAAATCAGCAACAATTCTAAAAGCACTTATGTATGTGCTGGGGATACAAAATAAAGGTTTAGAAAAGGACTGTCAGATGTGAGTTTTAGTGTTGTGAGTAACTTCTTAACACAAGACAGAAATGCCCTTATCAATGGTAACATCTGTAAACCTGAAATCTTAATGTAAATGTGTATCTTACATTGTTTTATTGTTTATAATCCCTTGTTTGAATGCCTGTTTTACACGATTTCCAGTAATGCTGTATGTAGTTTATGTTCACCATAGCGTTCCAGACATCTCCTGGCAGAAATAAATAAAAAAAAAGAAAGAAAAAAGAAAAACTGGAATGGACAAATAAAAGAATGTGGGTGGTGACGTCATTAAAAGCTTTTTAAATCATTCAATAAAGTCACAACCTGGAATGTAATAATAATAATACACAATTAAAGTCATTTCGTAATGTAATGCTCCATTAGTGAGACAGATTGTGTGGGAGGCTGTGGGACAAGAATAGAAGACATTACACAGACAATACAGCTTAACCACACACACCCAAACCATACACACTACCTCTCTTACGCACACACGTTCTCACACACACGCAGCTGGAATGCTCGACTGGAAGCATGGAATGCTGACTGCTTTTAAGACGTCTCCTCACGCTGACGTTCACAAGCTGTTGAGTTCCTGCAGGGTTTGGTCCAGGACTTGGTGCAGATTCAGGTTCTCCTGCTTTGAGTTGGCTAGACTCTCTGCAATAAAACAGTCACAGTGTTTAAGAAGCTTGACTTTTTCCAGTGTTTCATATTTTACACTATTTATGCATCAGTACACAAGGCAATAAGTCACAAAAGGCTGCTGGTTACACTGATTTTACCACAGCTAAGGAGTGTTGTTTGGTGCGACATGAAGCAAAGACATTTTATAAAACAGTGACCAAAAGATCAATGTTGAAATTGAATAACTAATTAATTATTATTAATAATAATCTACAAAAAAAACAATTCTTTCACCAAACAGTAGGGTGACTGTGTGTTAATGTTCATTCACAATATTTTATGTATGTTAACAGAAGGCTATTATTATTTTGTTCTTTATGTTTGTAAACAATATTTTCTGTTTTACTACTTACTATTTATGTTATTAAATAGCAGCAGAAAAGCAAAAGTCAATAAACGAATTTCAGACACTTTATCAACCGACATCAGTACTAACAACTAAACAAACCAGCATTAGTTGACTTGGCTACTTTAACTCTTGGTGCATGACTCCAGTAACCCACAGTCAGCACTCAATGGTTTTATTGTATGATGAGCAGCAGGCGGTAAATGTGTTAAGATCTTTGACTGTACAGAGCTGCTGTTTGTTGTGTTCTGCCAGAAAGAGTCCGATAAGTTTGGTTTTCAGCGGCTTTAAGGCCACAGTTAATATTAGCGTTCATTCGTCTGTTGTTTGCATAGTAACAAGAGACTTGCGATGCACTTTGGGATATTCAGCTGATCTACCATAGTGACCTACGGTGTTCACTAGAAAGTATAAGTGCACTCTGGGAGATGTAAGTGCCCTTAAAATCACTTTCAATCCCAGTTTGGATGCTAAGAGAAAAATGGCCGACAGATGTAACTGTCGTAGTGGGCAAAATACAAGTTCATCTGGTATACCAGCTAAAATTCTTCCTCAGTTATGAGTTCCATCACAACCGCTATGCGATAAATATGTGCAGATAATGCAACGTACAGTGCAAACGATGCTAGTGTTAGCCAGTTTAGCTAACACAGCAAAGTCTTGATCACGATCAGGAGGTCACATTGTCTTCAAGGGAGCCAACATAAAGGAATGGCCGATCTTTTGGGGTTAGCCTTAACTTAACGTTGACACCAGAGCGATTGCTGTGCTTCTTCTTGCACCTCCTGAGAAACCGCCTGCTGCAGTCAGCTGCATCTATCCATCCATCCAGGTTTGTTTTTACTATTTTGCACAATAAAATATATTTCAGATTTACTTTTACTGTTTCTTATTAAAAGGTTAAGGGACATCCCAGAATAATAAGCCACTGTTAACTTACAAAAATAGGTTTACTTATCTAAAATGGTTTTAATATATATGTGGCGTGATATATAACCAAACCAACAGACATTTTGATTATACTGTGATCTAAATTGCTGGTTATACCATTCATTACTATGTAATAGTGCCCTAAAATGCAAATAAGCTCCACTGTTTCAGTCACAGCCTGGATTTTAATAACTTGGCACAGTGATATCATAATTAACTCAGTTGATGTGTGCGTGTATCAAGTATTATAGAGAGTTCAAACATGACTCAGCCAATTAGATTTTACAACCAGTCATTTCTTAATCACCATTTTGACATTTGTTGGCATTTAAAATAGTTCTAGACCCAATATCGCAAAGAGCAGCATAAAACAGAACTTAGAAAATGGAAAATGTAGGCCAAAAACCCAGATGGTCTGTGAATCAGAGGAGTTAGTAAAGGAAAAGCAGGAAAGATAAGAAACCCAGATAGATGGCAGTGAAAGGACACTAAGTGTTAGACTTTTAAAAATCTTTATTAAAACTTTAGTATTAAAGCCATACTCTAAAAGGCCACTGACATATACATTTCAGGGAAAATAACAGAAAAAAGAGAAAGAAAAAGAAGAAAGGCACAGGGTTGAAAAAAGCCAAAGTGTTTATTCAGCACAGCAGTACGTGAACTGGGTCATCACTTCTTAATGCCTCAGCAGCACCTGTATTGTGCACTATGAATATTTAATAATGGAACGAATAGATAAGGTGGGTTTTAGGCACTTGGATCTTCCACAATGAGCTGCTGGCGTCGGAAGAGATAATGATAGTGAAGGAGATTGATCTACATGGAGGTCATGTCATTTAGGGCATGATCCAGCTCCTCGCAAATGGCCTTGTACCTCAGCTTCTGAGCGTACAGTTCATCTGGAGGACAAAGGCAGAGAGTCCAGCAGAAAGGAGGGTCAGCAGAAGAAGTGGACGGCAGGAAACGTACAGGAAATGTGGAGAAAGAAGGAAATCAAGGAAAGAGTGAGATCAGAGAAGAGAGAATGTAAAAGACAGTAAAAGTGTTACATATCTCATGCCAGAGAAAGCCAATGGAAAAGCTAAATGGTGAAAACTGCACTATGAATGTCAATGAAAATGCCAAATGGGAAGAAGCATTTCATGTGTAATGTACCATCAATAGCATTGCCATTTATGGTTCTCACACCAGGAACTTCTATAATACATTATATTATATTTAAATATATTAATATCTCAACTTAGGCTGTTTTCACACCTAGTTCATTTGCTAAAATCCACCAGAGTTTGGGTTTCTGTGTTCTTTTTTACATATTTTGATTGGTTTCATATTCCAACAGCTAAAGCACGATTTTTGCTTTACTTTCTCCATTAGCAGCAGAAACAACCAATTTATTTAAACTTCCAGTAGAAAAGTGTTTTGCTTATGACTGTTTTACATGTCTTGTTGATTTTCTAAATGAACCTAAGTTAACATCTTCTACAGGGAACAAACAAATATGGCATTTTTCTACTAATTTCAGTGCACAATTTGTATTTTTGCTGAGTTTAACATATTGGAAAAATAAAACATTAAATATAAAATGTGCTATAACTTTTGACAGTTAAAATAATCATCCCTGCCATATAGTTCTTATTTTTTTCACACTTACATACATCTGCATAAGATCAAGCTAAGTATTATATTTTTACAGAAGGTGTAAAACATGGATGTAAGTTGTGTTGAAAGTGCCATGTTGCGACCAATACG